AATACCATAGGCAGGATTAGCAGAGATACCAGAGTCTATTAATAAATGTCATTAATGATAATGTATGTATTGTTTTATAGTCCATCTTACTTTGACCAGTAACTCTATAGGCAGGATTAGTTGATGCTGTAAATGTATTCTGTCCTTCATTCATTTTTATTGCTATATACCAGTAAATTGTAATCATAATAGTACATAACAATAGTTTCAATTACCATCTGATTGTTGATGTATATCAGCTTTACTTTCAGTAGAACTGACAGAATCATTTCCAATTGATGTTTTATACCATATTCTCCTACACACTAATACACTCACTATTAATATTACTAGTATAGTAACTACCAGTAATATAAATACTGTACTAAGTACTGCTAATAGTATTATTATCAGTGTATTATTCTCAGTACATGTATTGTTTATTGAAGTTGGTGTCATTAGTGTGGGGGAACTGGTCATCAAGGATGATGATGATGTAGACTGCAATGAGGTAGTGGATGATACATTCATATCAGTAGTAGTTGTTATTGTTATAGTAGTAACTGCAGTGGAACTAGTAACTAAAAGAGTTGGAGGGAGAGTATTTGATGATTGAGAAGGTGTGTTTGTGATGTGAAGTGTATTGTTTATTGATTGAGTTTGTGTGGAGGAACTGGTCAAGGATGATGATGTAGACTGCAACAAGGTAGTGGATGGTATGCCCATATTAGTACTTATTGCAGTAACTGGAGTGTGGGAGTACCAGTATGTTGTTAGTGATTGTGTAGTAGCAGTAAGAGTTCCTGGTATTGATGGACTTGGCCCTACAAGGAACAACAAAGCAACAGTGCATGATAGTTACTATTGAATCATAATACATAACTTACCTACTACAACTGATATCAGTGGATAGTCATTATGTTCCAATGGTATTAATCCATTACTGCTATCAAGCTCATAATTCAATGGTCCATTGTATTGTTGATAATACATTGGATTACTATTAGTGGTTACATTGATTACTAATATATCTCCATACTGTACTTCAATATCACTTGTAAAGAGATATGCATTACCTTCACTTGATGTAGCAGCAGAAGCATCAACAGTTAGTGCATGAATCAGTTCAGAAGAACGTTTTAAATAAATGTTAGGATAATGTTTGCTTGTATCCTGATTCTGTGTAATACCAATTATCCAGTTAGTAATAATACCATTACATGTGAACTGTATATCAGGAAAAGCTCTTGTATCATTGACTGGTATTACATTAGTAACTGATAGACTGTTTGTATTAAATGAAGTCTCAATTGAAGGATAGCCACAATAGCTACCTATGAATACATTAAAATAATAAATTTGTTTCATTAATGACATACTTGTAATTGGATGTATTAGGATACTTGAGTTTTGTAATACTATTTCCCCTTCATTGTCAACCCTATCATCTCTAATATTAGCTACTCTTCCAATTTGACCAGTTCCAGTTACTTTATAAAATCTAACAACACTTCTATCATCAGGAGGTTGATATACTCCTAGTCTGTAACCTCTGGTGCCATTACCTGTCAGCTCACTAATGTTCAAAGGAGTAGGTAGTGTATAACAATACAGTCCATTGGTAGTGAAATCGTCTGGAGATAATCTAAGTTCAACAGATACTGGCTCTCTATAATAATGCATTCCTGTATCTCTCCATATCTCTATTCTAGGATATTGGTTCCTATTACCAGTTACTGTTCTAATGTCAACTCCAACTAATACTTCAGTCAGTGTAGAACTACAACCACTAAACTGCTTATCTCCTTCAGTGATGATCCATCTTGTTTTTACTGATTCTGCTAGTCCTGCAATAGTTTTTCCATTGTTTCCAGATCTCATTCTAGTATCAATGGTTTTAGCCACCAGTAAACTTGGTTCCATAAATCCTTCAGTACTACAATCATTAGACTGTACTGTACCATTTAACAATAACAACAATAAAGAAAGGAGAGAGACAGGAGAAGGACTCATCTTGACTGTTACACAATCTCTGGAGCATGCAATGTTGATTTTCACTCTTAACATCATGACTCCCACACCTTAAATAGGCTTAACATATTGAGGATCCACTCATTATTCTTATTAGCTTTAGAAGGATTCTGTGTACTGCTTGCATGTGTGTGCATGTACAAAGATTCTGTACATGTATAATTCATTAATGAGTATGATATTCATGTAGTAATGAGGATTAATTGCAATAAGGAATAAACACAGCTGTTTTATACTTGGAGTATTAATATTTATAAATGAGCCGATTCCACTTATTACACATCAGAAAGGATTAGTCTTGTGTAGCCAGACCCGTCCACCTTTTTGACATTTGGACAACCAAATGTAAAAAAGGTCGACGGGTCTGGCTACATAAGACTAAAAAAGGATTGCTTTACAATATCATCATTAACTATAGAATGCATTATAGCAAATAAAAATGCAGCAACATACAATTAATAATATTAATGTACGGAAAACAAACCATTAAATACAATGTACAAGTATATAAACTGGCTACACAATCAATCAGTTCTTGTACATGTACTGTAAGTCGGTGTAGAGGGAGTGGCTTGTTTCTAAAGCTCCACCCAGTACAGTAACAGGACCCTCTTTATTAATCATTAGTAATTGTTTATCAGGTGAGGATAGACTTGATGATATATCTGAGAAACTTGGACGATCATGAGTATCAGGATTCCTATACAATACAATGATGACATCACTATTATCAAGAGTAAATAATACCTATTCAGGTTAGGTAATATTTACTCTTGTTGTTATACATACTAATTGCACACGGAAGCATGAGGTAATTGTGTACGATTAATTTGATTATAATTGGGTGAAGCCCACTAAAGCCGAACATCCACTATGACAAATTTGTTGAAAGCATACTTTGTGGTTACTTTGATGTGTGTCAACTTAGTTGCCTGAAATAGAACAGTTTTCTATTTCAGGTAATGAAACTGCTATTGATTTCAACAAAGTTGACTAGTGGACGTTGAGCTTAAGATGAAATATGCGTCCCTCTGTC